AGAAGATGATTTATGTTTAATTAGTTGACATTTCTACAAATATACAAGAGAAAAACCACAATAACCAATAAATTAGTTGGTGGACTAGTGGTCTTGAAATTAAAAAAAAAATTTTAAATCACTAGTTCAATTCTACTTGGAAATGGTGATTTACGCTTTAAACGTGGTATTATTAACGGCTGGTCTCGGACACCGAGGAGATTATAGATCAAAGATCCGGAACTCCAACGATTTATAAAAAAGATCACAATAACCATAATTAAACCCGAAAAAACTTATATTTTTCAATAACAACGGATCTAGTATAAATTAAAACTGTGTGATTTAGTTGTTTGTTTGAGTAGATAGAAATTTCGCCATACGAAGAAAGGATATAATTGATTGCTGTCATCAATTGTGTTTTTCTCTTGGCCATTGAAGATATATAACTTAAATGGAATATTTAGTTTTCTAGGTGTTTTGAAATGTTTTGCTTGGATATGTTTCATTTATAAAAAAGGTCTAGTTTAAAATTAAGTTAAAAACAGGTATAAATATGAACTTAGTGGCAATAATTCAAAGTCTAAACCACAATATAAGGAATGATGTACTTTAATCAATTAAGTTAGCGAGAGTAGTGACAAAGTTGTTTTATAAAAGACAAAACTAGTGATGATCAATTTTGTATTTTTATGTAAAAACATTCGGTGCAATCGATATATACCTTCCATAGTTTTTCTAAGACGCAAAACAAGAATGAGTTTTTTTGCGTGTCTTTTTGAAAAGATATGAATTGGCGTTTGAAACTATCTAGAGCGCTATATATGATATCTTGTGCATTAATCGATAAGATTATATTACGTGTTTGTAAGATAGTGCAAAAAATCAAAAACTAAAAACACCAATAATCCGAAAATCGGTAAGGAAATAGTAAAAGGCGATGATGTGATATGGAGATAATAAACACATGAGACAAAATGCGGCTAGGGAAAGACAAGTTTGTAACTACTAATGAGAGATGAAGTTATTTTGGTGGGGAAAAATGTATCTAGAACACAAAAAAGGTTGCTTTCCTAATCCTATGGGTCTATGCAATTGCATGCTTTCTAGTTTTAACCTTTTTTCGGATGATAATATAATAAAGCCCCACTCTACTTGCGACTGGGAGCTATATATGACCCTAGTACTAGCTATCAATCAGTGGTAAAATTACTTTTCATCAAATCATTATAATATCACTTTCATAATCCCCAAATAAAGTTACGTTAGCAAATAGACAAAACAAATTGGTTTCTTCCTTTTAAGTTTTAACTATTCAAATAACCCTGAGTGGAGAAAGCAACAAAGCTAGGGTAAAAAAAAGTTTATTCGCAAACTAGCAATGTTTTTTTCTTTTTTTGGTCAACACAAGCAATGTTTTATAAGCGTTCAAATTGTACAAACATTATTTTCTGATGGAATATTTAGAATTAGTGGTGGACGTATAGAGAATTCTGAATACACAATAGATGAACATATTTACATATATATGGTTTCATTTCATACAGAAAAATGACTTTTAATTATTATTTTGTCTGTTTTTTTCTCACAAGTAACATTGAATTGTTTATTTTTTTCCCTTCTTTTAGATGGACAATTGCTTTTAAAAAAAGGGTATATAGTTTTCTTTTGTTTATGGTTGTACGTAGACATCATGTTTATGCGTAGAGATCGAAACTATAGAACGGGTGACTCAACGAGAACATCATACTAAGTCCGATCGAAATACTAAATACTCTTGGATTTTTTGGGTGGGAAACAAGGGATAACATAAATTAAGGTATGTGACTATTAATTAACCTCGACAAATATGAGTATTGTGGCTAAAAAGAAAAACTTTAGAATATATATATATTTCAAAGACACACTTAATAATGTCTGATAAAAGAAAACGACTTTATGTAATGTGATGCATACACAAGTTGGAGGAGTTTTTTTTTTTTAAATATAGATTTATATGGGACATAATGCATAACAGTTAGTTAACACATATCAACATGATTAATATGTTTATATTTCTTTTAAAAGAAGAACCAATATACAAGCCTACTTATTCATTTAATATCTTCTGCTTTACAGAAACTCTGATGATATGTTTAATTAGCTAATCATGATTGGTTAAGTGTGTGGTGTGAGATTAGGTTTGAAACCCTAAGGTAATCTTATGATGTTCTAACAATTATTCCACAACTCAGAAGTGTTGACTGAAAACAAGTAACCTCAAAGGAGCAGCTTAACTTCCATTGGCCTTATCTAAAGGAATGTTCCTAGAGACAATGTAACACAC